CCATCCCAACCGTCTGTCTCCCTGTGAACTTTATCAGCATCATCAGCAAACAGTGATATTCTTCAAAGTAATTTCTAGAGAGAGGTTGTCAGATGACATCTCAGCCTTCAAACACTGTGGTATCATGTGGCTGTCGGTTCTGAGTTGAGCAGCCAGAGATCGCCTTTAAAAAACAACTTCAAAGATTTCAAAACCCTCCCTGTCTGGAACAGAATAATTATCTCACTCCTTCTATCTTTGCCCAGGGGACTAGCGACGTCACCCAGTACTTCATGGCACACAACTAGTGATCTGTGTGCAGTTCCTGTCAGAAAATCAGGTCCCCATTTTGCGAGTCTAGAGACATCATCAGTCATATCCAGGGATGTCCATATCCAGGGAAATGCTAATGTACATAGTGATCAAAAAACCAGCTATGGGAATTACAGTACCATGATGGAGAGCTTCATTAATCCCTCCAGAAAATCTAGAGGATCTAAAGGGATTTAGAGCTCTAGTCCCCAGAATATTTGTACTCTCAACTCACAGGAAAACACTGGAAATATTTCAGTATCTTGGCAGCTGAGAGAAACATCCTTTGAGTTTGAAGTTGAAGGGAATAAACCTGAGGCATAGCATCATCATTTTCTCAAGTAATTACAACCCATTTTGGCATTCCTTAAACAAAATGAAAATTCAGTATACCATATAGCACAGGAACAATAGAAAGGCCATGGATTACATGAGAAAACATACAGTATTGAATTATTCTTTGGAAAAAAACAGATGCAAACCAGCATATAATACTGAAGACTGACTTTTCTCTGGCCTCTAAGTACCATATGTAAAATTAATGCACATTTTAACTAGGAAATAGATAAGGATCTTAGTGCTACGTTTTGCAGATTAACACTCTACATCAAATTCTCCGAAATCATATTAGTTTTAAAATATTCTGCTTCAGGTGTTCATTCTACTCTTAGGATTTTATTCTGAATACTAGACCTTCCACACTTGAAATAGCATAGTTTAGAGAGCAGAAGATGCACAAGCTTCTGTTAACTGATAAGGAAGACTGATGTCTTACCTGTAATGTAAGCTGGTTTCATGTTGAATTTGTCACCACAGTTGTGCATGACATTTCACATTATAGTTAAAAAGAAAGTAAGAAATCAGAACATTGCTGTTATTTCCTTCTTTTTTTTTTTTTTTCCAAACGGACTTTGGAAACTGTTGTTCTAGCCCAACAACACAATATCCTCATGACCTGTGGTTAGTCTGATGAATAAGCATCTTTCCAGCGCTCGTGTCACTGCAGTACCTAAACACCCTTCTCTTCTGCCTTGGATGCCCACTTCTGTAATGGGCAGTGAAGCTCTTGAATGAATGATCTTCTGGGCCAGAATCCAGACCAGAATCTTCTAAGCTATTTTAATGTGGAGATCACCAAGTGCATATCCAACATATCAGCTTCAGAGGAGGTAGATAGCATAAAGGCTCAGTTGGTGCTGTTCAGATCAGGCGCACTAAGGAGAGTGAGTTTTTAATATTCTGCTGCATCGTTGAGCTTTAAGCCATTTCAATTTAGTTTGACTGCTTTTAGCACCACTATGAGCTTGAACGATCTGAAACCTAAGATAGCATGTTTTCTTTTTCTTTTCGCCTTTCCTGCAATTTCTGAGATTTAAACAAACTCCATAAGGCCTGTAAGGTCTCTATAGCAAAACAAGTCCTTCCATAACTACTGAGGAGGACAAGACAACCAGCAAAGACAGAAATGGCTTAGTTTTTGTCAGGTCATGTTAAGGAAATGTCCTACCACAGCATGGCCATTTATTCCCACGCCAAGCCACAGCCCCCAAGTGAAATATTTTCTTGGCTTAGCAGTGGAGTAAATGATCACAAGGGGATGTGTCCTGTGGGCTAAGGTTCTATTCTTTATTAGAACAGTTATGGGGTTTTCTCTTCTCATGCCACAGCTACAGATGAAACCATTGAAGTGGGTGCCCACCGACAGTTCCTGATGCGCTCCACGTGCAAGTTAAACATGGTTGCTGGCAAACGATACCTCCTCATGGGGAAAGACGGGCAAACGGTCGATTGCCACAACAAGTAAGTGCAATGGTTTCTGAGTAACAGTGCCTGCTCAAACTATTAGAATACCCCCAGAAAGCAAAGGGAGGGCCAAATTTCTTAGGGAGTGATTCTGATAGCTTTACTGAAATGCGAAGAGTACCACTCTGGAGGCAAAAGGCAAGCTGTGGGGAACAGCTGAGCCACCCAAATTCATCAGCTGATCTATCCCTGCAGATCCTGGTTCCTACACTGCTCAGAATCAAAATCTGGTCCTTTTTCCACTGGGTTAAAAACTCACAGCTAGAAAAGGAAAATGGGAGACACTACACAGTTTCATCTATTGCAGATGCCTTACACAGCTCCTGTGTTTGCAAAGTAAGTGGGTGGGACCGTGTCTCAGAGCAGCGCTCAAAGCTTCTGTTATATCACACATGCAAATACTTCATTCTTCTCATTTCTCATTGTCACGCTTTAAGGAAAAAAGGGAATTTGTCTGAGGATGAATTTAGTCTGAATCTATTAAGTATTCAGTGAGTGAGGAAGCCGTCTTAAATGTCTAATTTCCCTGCACTTATCTGGAATTGTAGAATCATTTAGGTTGGAAAAGACCTTTAAGATCATAAAGTCCAACCATTAATGTAACACTGACACTAAACCGTGTCCTTACACACCACATCTACATGTCTTTTAAATACCTCCAGGGATGCTCGCTCAAACTCTTCCCTGAGCAGCCCGTTCCCATGCTTGACAACCCTTTCGGTGGAGAAATATTTCCTAATATCCAATCAAAACCTCCCCTGGTGCAACGTGAGGCCATTTCCTCTTGTTCTATCACTTGTCACTTGGGAAAAGAGGCCAACAACCACCTTGCTACAACCCTCTTTGAGAGAAAGGAAGTGACTTTGAAAATTTATAGGATGGAGACCACCTCCATCGAATTGTAAGCATCACTTCCTATATCCTCAGAAGGTCCCCTCTCTCCATATGACACCAGTGTGAGTGCTTAAGTCGGGTCCTGCTTCAACACATGCCTGCTAAAGATTGAAGTCTCCCAACAGAGGTGTCCAGTCCAGTCATAAGATGCCAGAAGCTACACAGGCTTTCACCACAGAAAATTAGGAATCTTTTTGGGACACCCTGTTGAAACCAAACACCGCTTCACTGTGTCCCATTAGTGTTCACTGGGGCTTTTTGTGCCAGTCCACAAAATTTTAGTAGAAACTTGGCACAAGCTTACCTGGTGCCACTCAAAACACCAACACAGCCAGATTTGTTCCAGCTTGGCACTGACTCCTCTTAAACCTTACCCAAATCTCAGTTAACCTGCTGGTGGTGCTAGGTTTCAGGCAAGTCTCTTGGCTAACTCCTCCTCATCCCACAGATACCTCAATGGAGGGATGCAACCCCACAGGGTTTACACTTTCCCTTTGCCCCATGTCATCAGTAGTGACTCACCTCCTTTTTCCTGTCCCACTTGCACTCAGGATGCAGTACTTCCTTGATACACAAGCCTGGATAGAGAAAATTCCAGATGACAGCGACTGCCGCAAGACGTTGCACCGGCAAGCCTGTGCGGAGCTGCAGGACTTCATCAACACCCAGGATAGCCTGTGCGTCTTCTGAACGATTGCTCTGCTCCCCACAGTGTGATGGAGGCTCAGGTCCTTCCTAAATTTTTCTTGCAAAGCCTGTACATCGCAGTAGCACCTAAAACATTGCAGAGGTGCTTCTGTTGCTGTTTTGATGAATGGGGTATCTGCTTGTAGATGTGTAGGGGGGGGTGTGTGTGTAATACAACAGAAATTGCAGCTACTCTACTAGTTACCATGTTTGTTGTCTCTGCCACTGGTGAAGAGAGAACAGGAATTTCTGTCTCCCTGACCCATTATACAACATTGCAATTGTCCTGCAAGGGATCAAATTGGAAATCATTGTACTTGCAGAGCTGATTAATTAATTCCTGCAGTCATTGTCACTGGACATGAAAGAGGCCAAGAAATGTGCACAGGTCATAAGGAAGATTGGGAAGTCATGGGCTTACCAATACAGCCTGAGTTACGCTGCTGCAGAAAGAAAAGAGATACTTACACTCATGCTTCAGCATGTCAGCTGATTTCTCATTGTAACCCCAAGTCCTCATGTAAGGGTGTGTTGGGTTTGGGTAGCAGGGTGGCTCCTGTAAGAAGCTGCTAGAAGCTTCCCTGGCTCCAAGTCAGACCCTCCTCTGGTCCCAGCCCAGCCAGACAGTGCCTCTGTAATTAATGTAATTCAGAGGGGAAAACAAAAAGAGAAGCAGCAGCAGAAGCGGAAACAGCGGAGAGCGGAGTGGGATGTGGAAGAGACACTCAGGCAGACACCCAGGTCTAAGAGGTAGAAGAAACTGGGAGTGAAATTGAGCCTAGGAGGAATGGGGGGGTTGGGGGATGATCTCTGTCCTCATCTTCATCCTCGAGCCTTTCATCGTATTTTTTTTTCCCCCTGCCCAGATGAGGAGGGGGCATGATAAGAGTGGCTTGGTGTGGGCACCTGGTGTCCAGCCAAGGTCAACCCACCACCCACCAGTATCTGACCCTTTTGCTGCCTGGAGTGCGTCAAGCGCCCAGGGGTTCTTGCTTAGCAGACAAATCACCAAATAATTGCTAAATTCAAGAGTCTGTAAAATGTGGTGAAAGCATCATTAAAATTTCATATTATGTATTTTATTGCATCTTACATATTTTCTTCCATTTCACTCGGAGAGGAGTCTAACCTGAAACCGCTCAGTGCCTGAACCTTGAAAATGAAGTCTCCTAATGTGGGCGCTATGTGTGGTTATTAATCTACTTTTATTTTTGGTACAGAGGACCAACAGCATGCTACTGCTATAATTCTGGTAATCTGGAATGCCTTGCTTCCTGGGAAACCCTTTAAATCTCTCTGCCCAAGGAGCTAGTGTAGAACAGTCTCTATCCCCCTCTATTTTTCTGCCCTAAATTCTCAAGCATATTTACAGGGAGAGGGAAGACAATGGTGGAATTATTCTCTGCTGCCAAGGTGGTTAATGTCTGCAGGTAGCGCAGCTGAAGACCTGCTGGGGACTCAGACAGCACCACAGAGGCCTGCTTGAGGGCTTTAGAAGCATTCCTTTCTCCTTCTGCTGCCACGATCTGCAAAGTAAGAGAAATGGAAACCACACAGCGACACTGCCCAGAGTGGGGAAAATCCAACTTTACAATGAGGAGAAAACAAACAGGCACTTGGGTGCCCAGGACAAGCATACAGGAGCTTGGAGGTTGATGTTGCCTTGGGTCTTACCTTAGCTCTTGCCTCTCGAGCAGCTTCTGCTTCGGCTGCCATTGCCCTCTGCATGGCCACGGGAATCCTGACATCTTTGATCTCCACTCGGGCCACTTTGATTCCCCACTGCTCCAGGGCACTGTCAAGGGTAGCCTTAGGGACAAACACAACCCACCACGAGGAGCAGAGTGATGGCGGAGAGAAACCCACACGATGTACCCTGCCGCTTGGACGGAAGGAAAGGCAGCACGCAAAGCTGCACAACAGCGAGACAGAGCCCTCCAGGGGCACTGACATCCAACGTGGTGTGTGTACGGCAGGTACCGCCGCCCCACCAAACTCCTGCTGACCAACACCAGTGTCTGAGACAGGGTGTCTTCTGTGTGGCAGAAGACACTTCTCTAGTGTCTCCTAAATTATCATCCCCATCCTTTCTTTAGGTGGGCACTTACCTTCTCCATTTCACCAAGTAATAATACTGCAACTTCCGGAATCAGCATGATGCTGTAAAAGCAACTCCAGGTGAACGACAGAACACAACCCTGCAGCACTGGCACGCTCTTCTGTGCTCAGGCCCATGGGCACTACTGCAACCCACCTCACCACCATGACCCAGCTCTGCCCATGGCTGCAGTCCTGGATGGAGAGGGGTACGCTCTCTCTTTTGTCTGACTATCCCTCTTCTCTGACTGAAACAAGTAAATCAGGTTTGGGCTTTCTTCTCTGCTCCCTCCCTGGCTGCCAAACAAAAAAAACCCAAAAAACAGATGGCATTTTAAAGCATAAAACTTAAGTTCCGCACTCGTAGTGGTTACAACAGGAGATACGAGCCCTGCCTTGATTAAACCTCAAGGGTCTGTGCAAGACAGAGCTCAAGACAGAGCTTCCCGTTTTTTTTAACTTCTTTCTCACTGCTTCCAGCAGCCTCTGTACAAAGACTAAACTGATTTATTCAATTCACTAGATAATTTTAGAATCTTCATTCCTTTTTGATAGGAAATAATTCTTCTACAAGAACCTGGGGAAACACCTTTAGAATAACTCTTTCTGATTCTAAGCAATGAGATGTATAAGTGAAAAAAACATGAAGGAAAATTTTGCTATCACTGTTGAAGAAAGAAAGATTATTTCCAATTTGTTACTCCCCAGAACAAATCTCCATGCTTGTCAGTGAGTTTTGAGAGGCAGATTTACCTGAATACTGCGTGCAATCTCCTCACGACCTGCCAGGAGCTGAGTCAAGCTCTGTGTACCCAGAATGTTTCTCAGGGTTGCCTGTGCCAAGAGGAAGGTGGCTGAATGGACATCGGTGACGTTAGCGACGGCACTGACAGCACTGTGAATCCTGTAGTACACCACCCCATCAACTTGGGTAGTAACAGCATCTTTTGTGAGAATCTGCATTGGAGAAACATGCAGAATTAGAGAAGGATCCAGTAACACACCTCTTGCCAAAAAAGGGGAATTTTCTTTTTCCCTTAGTGAGGAAAAGGCCTTGATAAGGAAACTAAGAATTTTGTTTGGTTTCTTTGTTATTCCCCTGAGAAATAACTTCAAGGAAGTTATCCTGCATCACCAACAGTTTTAACCAGGGCAAAATGTTGCACATAACCTTTAGATGACTGTTTCAACTGTAAATGAATCTCATAACCTCCACAAATTTCTTGTAAATGATGGTTAGCTCTTCATTTCTGGTAAAAAAAGGGTCATTACTGGTTTTATACACTGCATGCAGGTTTGGGACATCTGTGTGACTTCCCCTAAACAATGCATTTGTAAGAAGCACCAGCAAATTAAAACGAAAGTGGAAAACAAACTGCAAAAAATTGTGAGAAGGAACTCTGAAAAATACTGAAGCACTCCCAGAGGAGTTGTGTCATCTTTCACCAGACCAGCCCCCTGTGCCTCAGCAGTCAGTTGAAAGCGGTTTTGAACGATGAGCTGCATGGCAGATCCGATTTTATTAGGATATTCTATTCTGGATATCTTACACTAGCCTACTGCTTCATTTCCTTGTGTGGAATCACAATACAACTGGGAATTTTTTAGCCTCTCCTCTCTTGTCCTCTCTGACTCCCCCTTGCAATTCTACCCAGCTGCCTTCGCTTTTAGCTCACAGCTCTGAACATGGGCAAGAGGAGTTTGCTTGGCCCGTAACGATGCAGGTGTTCATAAGCAGAAATTTTGTCAGCAGTTTGGAAGACAGAAGATAATTTAGCAAATAAGCTAAATTCTTCACGGTAACTTACAACTGCCAAACACCAGCGTTGTTTTTGATCGTGCCACGCATCAGCTCTATGTTTTATTGCTGATGGCTGCTAGAGAATAGTTACCTCTTGTGGAGGAATCTTAGAGGCAACAGTGCGGAGATCGACCTTGATAAATGTATCTGTACATGGAAGTATGACGATCAAACCTGAAAAAAATAATTATATAGGAAAGACTTCTGAAAGCCAGGTCGAGGACCAGGTGTCCTGTACAAAGCAAACAGAGGGAAATATCCACAGGGTGCTTAATATTACAGCTGTGCTTTCTGCTACAGGAGGTGACAACAGTGAGGTTTTTATTTTGAAGTCCCTTCCATGGAGAGGGTGTGTTGACATACACATTTCTCTCATCTCAGCGCCTTGCTTAGGTGCCCAGAGCCAGTAGAAGCACTGCCCTAGCTGCTCTTTGGACCACATGGCTGTTACTCAATAGGAAAGACAGAACTTGAAAAGGACTTTTTCCTCTTATTTCAACTTCCAGTTTGCCCAGTTTCATTGCACAGAGGTGGTATCTGCAGCAATGCAAGCACCTCACGTGGCTGTGTTTGGTTCGTACATGGGATTTGTAACCTAATCCTGGGTGACTGAAACAAACTCTGTATGGATTCAGAGTGTGGGAAATCCCCCGCCGTGACACACTGGCGCTTTTCAGAGCAGAGGGCAGCGAAGAGCTGGCAGCAATGAACAATGCTAGAAGTGAAGCACAGGGAGTGTGGCCACAGTCACCCAAAAAGTCTCCAGCAGGGCTGGGTTCTGCATTTAAACTTCCCTGATCCCCTGCCAGTGTCTGCAGCATGAGCTCTACCTTTCGTTGTCCAACCTACCCAACCCCAAAGACCTATCTGGTACCAAGGTCCTCAACCTCCTGTGTTGTGCTGTGATGGAGGGGATGGCTTTATCTTCTCTTCAGAAAAACAATCAGCCTGCAGATAAAGGAACTGCAGCAGAGAGGAACTTCTCATCCCCACATACGATAGGAAGAAGGATCTCCTGGACCTCTGAAATTGTCTGTGTGGTTACAGTGCATATATAAATAAAATTAAAACAGTGCATCTTAACAGAAAAAAAAAACACCTGCATGCATTCACCTGGTCCCTTTGGTTTCTTGCAGAGTATACGTCCCAGCCGAAATACAACAGCACGTTCATATTCTCTGATAACCTAGGAAAACGTTATAAATTTAGAATTTTACAATAACTCTATTCCTGCTCTCTGGATTGTTTTGTTTGGTTGTTTTTGGTTTGGGTTTTTTTTTTTTTTAAATATTTGGGATCTGTATGAAATGTGGGGAAAAATGTATAAAGAACATAGGAACCAACAAAGCTGCATGTCGCGCAGGATTTTCTGCCTTCTGCTCACCTTATCCTTGGCTGGGAAAACTCAAACTCTGGCCCCACAAATATTTTACACAGCAGATCAAGTACGGAAGAGTTGCCACTGATCTAATGAGGCTACTCACCACTCCCTCAGCATCAGTGCGACACTCGGAGGAGCTGTGGGCAAAGTATGTCTCACCTCAGATAATCTTACTACTTTGGCTAGTGCATGAGGACTACTGAAGGCCTGGTGCTCCGGGCAATCACCCTGGTAACTCACCCCTAAAATTTGCTTTAAATTAATCATATTATGCTCATGGCTTGAAGGGACTGTGGGTTTAGGTTGTAAAATCCCTCAACGCAAGGACTTGGTCCGTTTCCGTTTCTCATCAGTACTCATGTTAATCAGTATTGCTGGCAGCATCAAACATGAGTTCTTCAGAAAAGCTTGTACATCTATCCTCCTAGCGTCTTTGTAAAGCAAGGAAGTTTATCTGATGATGGAAGTTGAGACGGGAAGAAATTAAATGAGTAAATTGTGGTGATACAGAAAGTCAGTGGAAGAACATGGATGTCTTGGTCTCAGAACACATCTTTGCTACAAGCCCTTATATTCACTTTTTGGAAATCATGAAGTGCCTTGTTTTAACAAAATCACTAAATCAATAAACATAAATAACAGCAATGATAATAGAGCAATCTTTATGTGCCTCAAATCCACTGGCTTACCTTGACACATGCCCAGATGGAAACAGGAAAGGTAATAAGCACCAGGAGGAAAGAAAGGGAAACCAGGATCCAGCCACAGACACCAATTCCGTCCCGCCTGTCGGCTACAAACAACGTAAGGAAGAAAAGCAACAAATGCAAATTTTGAAGAGTTATCTTAGGGATGTAGGTCTAGCCCAGTGCAATCATGAGGGATTGCAAAGTCCACAGAGACTCATTCCCTTTTACCTCCCTCCCATCACTCACTGAAAGCTGTAAAACACCTAACCAAACATCCAGCCTTATGTCCCTTCTGCCCCAAAGGCTAAAAGGTTCAGAAAGGACGTTTTGTAACAGGAAAGAAAGAGGAAAAATGAAAAACACTGGCAAAGCTGGGGATTGTGAAGGAGAAATAAATCCCTGGGTGGAGTATCCATGGATATGACTCTGCCAGTGCACCGGGGCAGTGGCAAAAGATTCAGTAATAAGGAAGATGAGAGGAAGTTCTGCTGTCTTTAAAGCTTTAAGGAATATCGATGGACCAGTTCATCCATTGGACCATAAGCTTCAAAATCAGTGCCTTTCAAAATGCACGCCCATGCATTTTGAGCCATCCCCTCACTGCATTCAGCTCTTCTCATCCCCAGATTTCACTATAATGAAATCAATTTCATGAAATCTCATTATAATGAAATCAAAATAATTTCATTATTTTACTGCCTGAAGGGAAGGCAGTGGTGAGTTGTTGTTCAAGTACTAAAAGTTTGGGAGGCTCTTTGTAAGGGAAAGGTGATCAAGGAGCTGTTGCTTTTTGAGGAGAAGAGCATCTGGGGCTGCTGAGGTCAGAAGAGGGTGAGAAGTGGAACAGGCCAGTCCTGCCACCAGGACAGAGTGCTGCAAGGTCAGCTGGATTTTGCTAAATGCAGAAATGTCTTAGATCGGGAGAGTCACAAGAAAAGCATGGATGTGGCCTGGGCTAGCCCTAAGGGCTCCCCAGCTGCCAGGTTTGAGCCAGAGGAGGGTTTTTGCAGTCTTGAGCATCAGCAGATGGGAAGCTAAACACCAAAGCCTACACTTTGCCCCTTCCCAAGGCAAGGAGAAGAGGCAGGAGAGAGGGATGAAGGCTCAGAGAACCTCACTCACGCTGATGCAAAGATGCAGCGTGGTTTGGATATGTTACCTCAAAGGTATAGAGTAGCACTGGGAATTCTGACATCAAATAAAATGCATAGATAGAAACTAGTACATGGAAAAGAAATCTCTTCAATTTATACTTTGTGAGAAAACACTTGTCACCACAGTGAAACACCATGAGGCTACCTGATCTGTAAGGCAGAAGCGAGCAGACCAGAGGAGCAGGAACAACAGGTTTGTCAGAAAAGCCCCAGTAAGCCGGGAGGAGGAGAGCACAGAGCCCTGCTGCAGCTCTTCCCTCTCTTGAGTGCAGAATGGCACCACGCACACTGCCAGCAAAGCCCTGTTAACTACAAACCTGGGTGTTACAACCAAGCCCTTTGCTGTTTGCGGTTTCTCCCTTCCTACTTCTGAGGTTCCCACTGCAGATTTAGTCACTTATGAATATGTTTGTGTCCAGGAGGGCCAAGTTTCAGGCCCCTCTCTGGCTGCATGCCCTGAGAGATTGGCACAGCATTGCTGCACCCTCGGCCTGGCTTTCCTCCTGACCCTTTCCAACAAACAAGAATTTGAAATCCCTGGTTGTTTAATGAGGTACCACCAGCCATTCTGCAACCAGTGGTGAGAATGATTTGAGGAGCTCCCCTGAGCAAATCACCATGCAAACCTTCAGGCCATGTGTTTGAAGGCAGGACTTCTAAGGTTTAATGTGAAAATCTGTAATGCTTTCCACTGCTGCTTGGTTGCCGCAGAGTTCTTCACGTTACACTAGTTGTGTGTCAGGCTATGACAGGTACCTGGAGTACCAGTAGTCAGGCATCTCTTAATTGGTGGAAAGAGATCAAGGAAACTCATGGAATGGGCATCATTCGTAATTCTTAATCCGAAGCCTGGGGAAATTAATCATGAAGGGATGCTTTGTTCAGCACAACTCCGCATTTTGTACTTTCTCCCTTTATTTCACCTAAATTATGAGGTTGCAGAAAAATGTCTGAAGATCTTTTTCTCCAGTGCCGAACTTGGTTGTGATGAACCTCCTCAAAAGCAATTTTGGATTGTAACACTCTCTGCCATCATCTGCCCGAGACCTTGTTGTGGTGGCTAAAACCAGCACATACCACTGTGAAGATACCTGATAGGGATGACACAGCCCACAGACCCGGGGGAAATGGCTGGGAACAAATGCCCACACCCTGCAGACTGATACCCAAGCAGCTGAGAAGACGTAGGTGAAGATATCACTTATCTCCAGTAGGGGTAAGGAGCCCACATCCAAAACTTCACAAAGTACAAGTGAATCCTTCTCCATTAAAACTCTCTTAGAGATCCTGTTGCTGATGTAGATTCCAACGAGAAAGGCAGGATATGACAGTATGCCTTCTTAAGAGTGAATCCACACCTAGCTCACCCAAAACCACCACAAAGGTTCTCCAGTGACCCCATTTAACCACAAGACACATGGAAGACTCTAGAAAAACACAGCAGTGAAGAATAAGGACCAATCACAACCCAACGTATCAGCGACCTGGTTTTGCCATGCCTGTGTATGGATTACAATAGCTGTAACCACCAAAAACCTCACTTGGGTCTACAGTCCAGAGCAAACCAAGAGCTGCAATGCCCTGCAAAATGTGAGACCTCGTCCATCAGCAGTTTTGGACCAGCTCCAGGACATAGGTAGGATCCTTTGTTGCTTCCTGACTATCTCAGCATGATACATCATGACTACACTTACACAAAATCATGATATGGATGTCAAAACCAAAAAGCAATTAAAAGCCCACGTCCAAGTTGTCTTGTGAAAATTATAAAGAACTGCAGGCAAAACTTTTGGGCCTGAAAAATTCCTCTACCTTCCCTAACTAACTTTCCCTTTCTACCCCACCCCTACATGCGGAAGTGTATCAATAGCTGAATCAGCCATTTTCATCCCTGGGGTCATTTTTCCGGGAGCTGTGTGCTGGCACAGGCTGGCAGGGCAGTATGAGGCAATTTGCTCTGTCCCTCACAGTGGGAGACTCTGAATTTTCATCTCCAGCCTATGTGGGAGACATGACGACTGCCTGGGTTCAAACGTAATTTTTTTTTGTTTGGTTAGTTTTGATCCTTTTTACTGTTACTCAGAAAGACACACACACACAGAGGCTTACCAATTAGATGCTCCGTGTTGTTTTTCTTGGGTGTCTCTCTCTGGGGATCCATTCCATTCGAGGGACGCTCTGATGCCCTCACAGAAGAGACAGCAGCGTATATTGAAACAGCAGAGTGCTTGTACAAAGCGGTGAAGAGAGAAGTTGGGCGAGAGGAGAAACCCCCACTGGGATGAGAGCCCTCTGGGAGCTGGTTACCCTGGCGAGGAGAGGATGTTTACACATACAAAGTCTTGTGGGTCAGGGTTGTCTCTGATGTAACTCCGTGGCCTTCTGTGGCTGTTTTCTGGCTGGGGATGCCCTTGGCCCGGCTGGTTTTACACCCTACAAAGTCAAAGCTGGAAATCATTTCTATGAATGACAGTAATCTCTCTCCCAGAGAGAAAAAAAAAAAAAATAAAAACAAACAAGAACAAGGCAACACAGAGAAGATAGAGCACAAGTCCTGTGAGGAGCAGCTGAGGGAGCTGGGGTTGTTTACCTTGGAGAAGGCTCAGGAGACCTTGTCGCTCTCTACAGCTACCTGAAAGGAGGTTGCAGAGAGGCGGGGGTTGGTCTCTTCTCCCAAGTGACAAGTGATAGGACAAGAGGAAATGGCCTCAAGTTGTGCCAGGGGAGGTTTAGATTGGATATTAGGAAAATTTCGCCACTGAAAGGTTTGTCAGGCACTGGAATGAGCTGCCCTGAGAGATGGTTGAGTCACCATCCCTGAAAGTAGTTAAAAGATGTGAGGATGAGGCACCTAGGGACATGGTTGAGTGTTGGACTGGGCAGTGTTAACAGTTGGACTCAATGATCATAAAGCTCTTTTCCAACCTAAATAACTATGATTCTATAAAGCCAGAGGATACAGAGTACCACTCTGCTGCTGTACACCTACCTCTTCATACTATGGGGGCTCAGCTACTGTTAAGATCTCAAACACCAGCAACGTAAATAATCCTCCAGGTGAGGTCCCTGTGCTGCTAGAAAAGTTCCTCACACACTTCTTCATACTGTGCATCGCAACAGGATGAACCCTGTTGTGCTAGATAACCTAAAACAGTAGAACCATTGTAGCTCAAGTCTTAAATTTTTACCCCAAGTAAGTTTTTTCACAAAACACTTCAATACCGGCCATCAAACCAAGTACAGCATTTCAGACTAAGCCATTTCTGATGGCTGCAAGGAGCCTTCTGAGAGGACACAAATCTGTTCCTTGTTATTTGAGGAAAAGTGAGAGGTGGCTTTTCATATGTAATTTATGAGTCTGACACACAGTTCCATGAATTATAGGCTGTTTTCTGTGGGCAGCCATCATCTACAATATCCTTGTGAAGATCTGGCTCCAGCTTCATTTCACTCTGAGTCTTCATCCCTGCGAGTAATCACATTGGCCTCAGATGGGTCATTGAAAGCTGACTGCTCCCCACAGAATCCTTTCTCAGCCCCACAGAAACTACACCATTGAATAGATGCTTTAAATCACAGTGAAAACCTAAGAACAAAGAGCTTGCAAAACTGGGATTGACATCTTATTGCAATACTCACCCCAATACGTTACAATATCCATTTGAAGTAATTTGTAATGTTTTCCTCATTATCTGGCTTCTCACGCTGAGCTGTAAGATCAAACCTGTCCTGTAAGTTCAGGACAGATACAGAGGAGGGTAGCAAGGGTGAGCAGTTAGAAGAAAAATGTGCTTTAGTTATTTCAGAAGCAGAAACATGACATGCAGAACTACCCCACTCTCTCAGTTTTATTGAAAATAACTTTATTCCAAGCCACTCGAATGCCGCAATCTCCATAGCTGCTTACACCACCAGATAGATGAGCAAAACATATTAAAACCTAGCAAAAATAATTGCTCCCTGTTGTTTACTGACAATTCCCTGAGGTGCTTGTAAATATAACCCTTGAAATGTGACTTTCACCCAGTTGCAGTGTCTTAATCCTACAGACCAAGCACCCACTTTGAAGTCTGTTAAAACCAGAATGACAATTCCGGCACACAGCCGTTTCGGAACAGCGCCAATCCCAAAGGTATCGAAGAAGTCACCGGGCAGTCCTCACGTGAGATTTGCGCGTGACAGAGGTGTAGGTTTCAGAGCATCTTTCTCTGATCTTTTTATGCCCTTACCACATTCCTTCCCATGCCTTGGGCTTTGGTTGCTCTCTAAAGTATCATCTCCGCCTAGTCCTTTCCTGGCCCTGAATTCTGCCCCCAAATATTTGTAGAATGTGGTAATTGGAACTAGATGATCTTTAAGGTCTCTTCCAACCCAAACCATTCTATGATTCTGATTCTAATTTAAATCGACAGTAGCGTGTTTGCTTCAGGCTCATCATTCCTTCCCCCCAGATCAAAACTTAGGGAGGACAGGACACAGACATTAACAGTACCATCCTAATGCCTGTAGGGACATCCTCATATTGTTCCTTTTCTTCATGAAAATGGCATCAGCTTTCAAAAGCTGAAGCTGGGGAGATGAGAGGAGGCAGCTATTTGGCTACGCTTTGCTAGAGCACGAGTAAATACGAGAGAGCCAATCAAAGGGATTGTTCCCATCCAGATCCTGTCCAAAAAGGAAGGCAATTTGCCAGAAAGAACAAACATTCATACCATGGCAAGTTTCCATCCAGGTCCAGTCAAACTCACAACTCTCACGTGCAAATCAGAGGACGAAGAGGACAGAAAATTGCTCTGTCTCTCTCACATTCCCTACAGCTGCAATTAAAGCACTTGAAATACTGGAGCTTGTACTTGCAAACACAGTCCCGGTATGTTCTTCGTTGTTCTGAATAAAGATTTTATTGTAAAGAACATGTCACCACACCTCATCTTTGCAGTCTGTCATCACACCTTAAATACAGCAGTAACAGGCAACTTGAGCAATGAAAAAATCATAGATAGTCCAGAATTAAGTCACACAGCAACAGCCTATTCCCAGCACAGGCTCAGTGTAAGATCCAGCACGGTTTGCTGCTGGAACAGGTTTTTTTCTTGGCTTTTTAAACATGGTGCTCCAAGTTAAGCATGAAAGAGCTCAGGACACATCATCCCCTTCAAAAATTCCAGGGCTGGGTCACAGGAGTTTGCTGCAATGCAGAACACAGACTTTATTCCTGAAGAGAAAAAAATTAATAAAAACCCCAATTTTACATCAGGAGAAATATTTAAGAAATTGAAACTTACCTTAATCCTTAACACTGAAAAGTTCAATTTATAAAATCCTCCGCAGTGTCAGTCAGTAAGAACCAGAGAACCCAGACAAAAAAAACCCCTTCGTTTAATGCTTCTTAACCCATTTGTTCACTTTTCTAACACTAACGACAAGCTTCTATGTAAAACTACACCAGCTGTTCATGAAATAGTCTTTCATGGGTAAAGGACAGCACATACACACCAGGTAGGAAGTCCATTGTTTCAGAAGAATAGCATTTAAAACAGTGGATATTCACTACTTCTCACCTGTTTTCATTTGGAGCAACAGCGCTTCACCGTCTTGTAGGTATCTTTGAGTTGTCTAAGGTTCAGACAGAAAAAAAGCCCAATAACCCTCACCCCATGACCATCCAACAGATGTTTTCAGAAACAGATGTACAAACTGCTTTCTTTTTGATACAGCACAGCTAACAGCTGATGTCTGGCCCTGTTTTGGACTACAAGGTGATGTGAATCAGTTTAAACTTTGACTGCTTGATGGTGAAACTAGACTCGGGTCGCAGACCAAACTCAGCACCTCAGTGAGGTTACAAAATGCTTCCTAACTTCCAACTACTTTACATTCACATCTATGGGACAAAAGCCCATCTGCTCCTGAGAAGACAACTGTATGTTCATTTTCTCCTTCTCCAACTGATCTACACATCTACAATGAACAAGTTATGAAAAGAAAAAGCAGGAAAGCCTAATGAAAGAGGGTAGACACTTGCTCCATACATTACCTGGGACAAGATACGAAGCACTGATTTTGCAAGCAGTTCAAAGAGGAGAATCGTTAGGATTCAACAGGTTTCACAAAATAAAAAAATGTAAAAGTGCAATATGTTTTTATCTTTAAAATAATATGTAAATCTGATCATTAAAATGCAAGACTACCCCATTCCTGGCAAAGTACTGAGAACACCAAATTATTTATCTAGACACTTCACAAGGTATTTCTATTGCTGCTGTTTAAGAAACCAGTTTCCTAATTCAGTATGTAAGTCTGCATCACAAAAAACAGCATAAGCAAGATCAATCATTAGGAGGTGTCTTAGTAAAAACAAGTTTATTCATCTGCATTTTAGGCAAATACGTAAATAGTCAGCAAAGCCTTTTTGCCATGACTGTAAACCTTTTATTTAAAAAAATTGTGTTAAAAACCAATACAGGAATTTCCGTTAATGTTCTAAAAAAGTTTGTTCACATCTTGAAAGAAAATACATTAGCAACATCTCCCAGCAGAATTCATCTTTATAAAAGTAAAACTCTAGGTGCAGAGCTTTTCTACAGTATAGTATCCTCTACGTTTTAATTTAACCACAGGATTGAATATCATTCATCCCTACTGCCTCTAGAACATGACCAAGAGTTTATCTTAAATACATGATATTCAATGATGTGTTACACATTGCCACAGGTACTAATATTATTAGAAGAGTGCACGACTGAATTTCACTAACAAAGCAAGACCTTTCTATATGCTGCGTCATAACCCTTCCTAACCCATACAGTTAATTTAGCCATATGCCTTTAAAATCATGTACGTTTTCCAAGGAAAAATACTAAAAAAAACCCATGGTCCAAATTCTGCTCCCGCTTATATTCACAGGGTAACATAAGCACCATGAAGTCGCGGTTTACAGCTGAAAAGCGTAGAGAGAACCAGTGAGTTTGTGAGTATAAGGGAGAGAAGAACTTGACCCATGTCTGTAAACATTCACAAAAGCCTGCAGTCCAAAGTGCCGGATAGGCAGCCTATCCGCAGTACAATTATTTCATTCACAGAGAGGTGCGGGGGCAGGTAGAATAGTACGGAACATTCATTTAGAGGCAAATCTAAATGCTTTTATGTAATTTGGAAAGA